TATCGGAAAGAAATCAAACTGGGAATATGGACACCATTAGGCAGTTCTTCTCCAATCCCACAATGGAAATAGAGAGACCTCAGGTAGACCCCCTCACCAGGTCCTTACCAGCTATTCACACAGTGGGGCCCCATATGGGGGGTATATCTACCAGTGAGGCCCTCCCAAGGATAGAAGAGAGTGAGGCCTGCAATACGCTAAGCACAGAAAACAATGCTGTCCCTCCAACAGAGGAGAGACAGTCTCAGGGAATGACAGCGACAGAGGAGGCAGTATCTACCCCCTCCCAGCCCTCAGCACCCCAAGAGGCAGACGGCCAATCAATGACATCAACATCTACCCCCTCCCACTCCTCAGTACCCCCTGAGGCAGACGGCCAATCGATGCCGTCGACAGAGACCCTCAGTAGCTTCTTTAGCAGTGTCTCCCTGTCGTCTGTTGAGGAAGACGAGGCGTTCCGATACGAGTGGATCAGACTGAAGACCTTCTCCAACTGGCCCCTGACATCACTGTTCTCCACTGCCATGGCTCGTGGTGGGTGGGTGGCCCTGGGGGAGGGGGACAAGGCCAGGTGTTACAGCTGTCATGTTGTCCACCAAGGATGGAGGATCGGCGACAATCCATTAGATTTCCACGATAGACACTGCAGGTGAGGTGTATCTCTACACTTATTTAATGCATGGGTAATTTGTAGAATTTTTCAAAAGTCGTCTATGGTTGTGAATTGTTTTTCTGTTTGCATTATTATGTGTATCATGTTAAGTATGAATTTGTTATTAAAATTCCTCTAACATTTTATTAATAATTTTAAAAAAATAGTCTTATTCTAAGTAATTCACTGATAAAAGTATGTCTTATCTTCTTAAATAATTGCCCTGCTCATCTCAGAAATATTTTATCAATAAGCTGTTTTTTTAATATGACAGTGACAATTTAGACTATTCAATATCCATTGTTAACTTATTTATTTCATACAGTCAGAGTGACAGAACCTCTTGTTATATTTTTTCAGATTTTTACAAAGTGTTTCAGATAACGTACCCATTATTCGGGAGGAGCCTGCCCCTACCCCTAGGACAGTGGAGAGGGACCGTGAGAGACCCCCCGGGCACGGTGAGGTAGCACCCCAGGGGAACATGACAGGACAGGTGCCCCGGCCCGAGGAGGAGAGAAACGTTGTGATGAATCTGATGTCTAAAGACGTGGGTGAACCTTTCCAGGAAGAAAGAGGAAACCTTGTAGTCGAGAGCAGTAACCCTGGCAACGTGACAACAAACCTACAGGTCAGTATGGCGGACATAAAATGTGTGTGTAGCTATATGTAAAAGACCTTAAAATATATCATAAACTGAGACTTATTTAGCATTGTATTTAGATTTCATGAAAGCAAACTCTGTTAACTTTTGTCATGTGTCTATTGTTAAAATGTAAAATTTAAAGGATTATATTTGTTTTTTTTTTTTTACCTGTGTTATATTGTCAATGATTTGGTATTAAAATATAATGTACATGTATGTTGTTTCAGAAAGGCATTATTTTTCTTTTAAAATTCAAAAGCTGTAAATGTTAAATGACTTTATTTGATTTATAGATGTCAGAGAGACCTCCTGTTTACAATTCCTTGTACACCTCCAGACCTACCCCCCAGCTAGTCACCCCCATGGAATCTAACCCCATACTGAAGCACAGCCCCTCCAATCCCCAGGGTCACTCCGCAGCTGGTCCCCCGCCCCTGCCCCCCGGCAGAGAGGCCCAATTAGAGGCCCTCCGTAGGGACCCGATGGGGATTAATTTTGACCGCCCTAAGTACCCATCCTACGCCATTCTGGCTGTGCGGATCAGCTCCTTCACTGATTGGCCTACAGCTATGACGCAGACCCCACGTGACATGGCCCTGGCCGGGTTCTTCTACGCAGGATACGGGGACTACACACGATGCTTTTTCTGTGGAGGGGGATTGAGGAACTGGGAGGCAGGGGACGACCCATGGGTAAGGAAGAGGCCGCAGTTTTGATTCATAGTGAATCTACAGTATCAATATGGATATGGATTCATGCACTTATCTTTGTGTAAATTTTAATTAGAAAAAAAAATTCCTCATTTTTTGGATGTAGCAAATAATAAATGCAAATACCTTAATGCAGCAAATAAAAAATGCAAATGCCATAAAGTTTCCAGATATTAAGTACCTGAATGATACCGTATAAGTAAAATTTTTAGCGAGGATTTAATTTTGGCATTATTAGCGAGGGTGTCGAGATCGCTAAAATTCAATATCGCTAAAAATTAATTGCGTATTATTTGTAATAGCTTCTTTAGTGTGCATTTAAAAATAGCTAAAATAACATCTCGCTAAAAATAAAGAACCTATTTTAAAGGACAAATCGCTAAATTTGTGTCTCGCTAAAATTTCCACTTATACGGTATATTCTAATAGAAATGCATGCATTTCTGCATTAATGTTTTTCCAAGTAGAATTGTAAGGTTATTCATAATATTTGTTGTTTTAAGGTTGAGCATGCCCGCTGGTTCAGTAAATGTGCATTTGTGCGACAGAACCGTGGTCAGCAGTTTATTGACCTTGTGCTGAGGCGTGCTGCGGAGATGGTATGTGACAAAAGGAGTTCTTGAGCTAAATCAGTAGATCAAAATATGGCACAGATTATCTGATTATTTCATAATAATGTCCAAGATAAATTTTAAAAAAAAATGTTGAAAAAATTTTAAAATTCTGAAGTCTTTCAGAGACTATTTGCATTTAGACCTTTTATTACAGTAAGTACATTTGCAATATTTTAAGGCAGTATTGTTGGCAATATAAGTTAAATCCTCGAACTTTTGAAGAAATGTTATCTTATGACTTCCTTAGAAGGTTTGTATTTGAACCATTGTCGTTATGATTTATTTTTAATATTTCTTGTATATAGGAGGAACAGAGATCACAGGATGAAGCTGGAAACTCACAGACAAACGCACAGACAAACACTCAGACTAGTAAGTAACAGATACAGACAAATACACATACAAGCAATAGACAAACACATATACAAGTACTAGTAATTGATAAACAAAAAACAAATAACGAAGAAAGTTAATACAACAAACAAATGCATAAACAATTTCATGAGTAGGGAATGTGTGCATGTATACAGATGTATGTATCAACAGTCAGACACACAGACAACAATTATCCAGACAAATAAGACTACATTTTCTTCTGGAATATCAGCTTGAAACAGATAAGTAACTCAAGCTCCACTTCTTTACAAAGACAATGACAAACACAGAGTAATTAGACCTATATAACCTGTCCAGGTGTGATGGTACATTTCACCTGTGTTGACCTGTTTACAGGGATACTGTCCAGGTTTGATTTTACATTTCACCTGTGTTGACCTGTTTTCAGGGATACTGTCCAGGTGTGATGTTGAGTTATGTTTACCTGTGTTGTCCTATTTACAGGAATAATGTCCAGGTGTGATTTTACATTTCACCTGTGTTGACCTGTTTACAGGTGACACTGTCCAGGTTTGATTTTACATTTCACCTGTGTTGACCTGTTTACAGGTGACACTGTCCAGGTGTGATATTACATTTTACCTGTCTTGACCTATTTACAGGTGAGGCAGCCCAGACTCTTGCTAAGGAGGAGAAGATCATGAAGTCGGCAGCTGTTATCAGCATCAAAGACATGGGATACAGCGAGGAGATCATTAAAACAGCCATTACTACCATCAAAAGCAGGCTACCTAGAGGTAATGTTTATACTTTAAAACTGCTGCATTGAATTTTGAAATTTTTGGCCTGAGAAATTATTAATTAATTTCTTATGGCCTAATAATAAAGATTAGTAATGATAGCTGATAAAAAGATATTGAAATTTGTGTAAAGTTGCATCATTTTTCTTCAGTAAAATTTGAAAAAAAAAAGCATATTCAAGAAATTTGAAAAATTGCAATTTGCACTGAAGGACATTTTCTATAGTCATCAACATAGATTGTTAAAAAAAAAAAACGCTTGTCTTCTAATGATATAATAACTTTGTAGGTAAACACAAGGTCTCCGCTCAAGAAATCTTGGAGGTCATATTTGAATTAGCAGACAGCCAGAGAGCATCCGAAAATTCCAGCAGCCAATCAGAGCCACAGAGAAATGTTGACCAATCAGAATCCTCCTCCACATCTGCTGTCCAATCAGGAGCTACCACAGAGAATGTCACAAATAATGTCAGCCAATCAAATTCCACTACAGATAAAACTGACCAATCAACAAGCGAGGAGGCTGCAGCCACAGGAACTTCAAATGCAGGTAAAATATGGAAATGATCATACCACGTCTTAAAACATATTGGGACAGTAGTCAATTGGGTATGAAAGATGAAAGTATTGTGTTCCCTGTGAAGTGTATATTTTACTGGAATTAATCAGAAATAATAACATTCACCATACCATGTGGTATACCCATATCTACATTCCTAAATTAGTATTAGTTGTCTAAATTGCCATCAAATCTGTTACCATTTTATCTTTACAAGTGAATTTTTCTTTCTTTAAGGTGAATTAGGAGAAAATCTTCTTTCCAATCCCACTTTTGATGGTAATTCTTTTTTTTTTTTTTTTACCTTAATTAATTTTGTTAATTTGAATACTTTAATTTATATATTTGTTTGGTTTTTACTAAGATATGTTAAGAAGCATTGAAGTAAAGCATTAAGATTTTCGCTGATTTTTTTTCCAGAGCTGACGTCCCTGAGACAGGAGAACACGAGTCTGAAGGACCAGATCGTCTGTAAGATCTGTATGGAGAAGAACGTGTCCATCGCCTTCTTGCCGTGCGGTCACCTGGCCTGCTGTGCTGACTGCGCCCCAGCCATGAGGAAGTGTCCCATCTGTAGGGAGTTTGTCAGGGGCACTGTCAAAACCTATCTTGTATAAACTTTCAGAGGGTTGGGGATTTTGAAAGGGGTCCTCTCAAGACTTTTTTTAGATCACCTATTATTCAGGTGACCTATTGCTATTTGTTTCCATCTGTCAGTGTGTAGCACCATGAACCATGCATCAGTCCAAAAGTCTGAATTTTCAGCTTCTTATCTTACCCTAAGGTTTTGCAAAAAATTCATGTTCAGCTTTTTGGGTCAGTAGGGGTGTAAAGGAGTGATTTTGATTTACCTACAACTAAATTAGAGAAAAAATTAAGTGGAAGAAAAAAATAACACAGTTATACAATCAAGTAATGTCACCTTCAGAAAAAAGTAAGTCCATCATATCCTTCAAGTTACCGTTTTGCTCCAGTCAGAGATTAATATTTTTTGTGTATCTTCCCATACACTGATACTGTTTTTATGTGAATAAACACCATATTTCAGGGATGTGTTATTAAACATAATCATTTCCACACAAGTTCAGACCACAATGTTAAAAGTTGAATTGATAAAGAGTCTAACTACTGCAGTCAGAACATTTTGTGTTACTAGTATATTAAGAACTGAAGAAATTATAGGTCAAAATTACCCTAACCTTCAAAATGAATTCCAATTGTTAATGAGAGGGATGTGTAATGATCATTCAGGCTTCTTAAATTTACCAAGAAGATGATGTGGTTTGACAAGTTCATGCTTAGGTGACATATGCACAGGAAATGCTCCAATTTTGTGAAACTTGAATTAAAATGTAAGTTATTCTACAATGACTTTTGTCATCTAAAGAAAAACTGAGAGTAAAGGTAAATTACAGTTCAAAGAATAATAGTTAAGTCTGGGCTCAATTTATCAAAGTTTGATATTTTGGCTACCCCGTATTTCTTCATATGTGTAAATTTATTAAGAAAAGTGAAACAGAATGTGTTTGTAATGAGTTTATTTTAAATACAAAGGTGACATTGTGCTATTAAGTCACACCTTGTTTAATCTAATGAACCTATTTGTGTTATTGGGTATTTTCAAAATTAAAGCCTTTTGTGAATCTTATTTTTCATAATGAACATGATGAATATTATTTTGAAAATCTATGGTGTGCAAGTTTTACCCCTTAATAAGTTCTTAAAACATATATATATATTATTATAACAAAAGTAACTTGATCCGAAGGGTTTTATCCACGTTAGTTGACAGGCGCGGATCATCAGATCTAACGAGACGCGAAGCGTCGAGTTTGATCAAAACATGATCCGCGCCTTTCAACATTTTTTTTGAATTTATACAGGCTTTGTGTTACGGACTCAAGTTACTGTTATAATGATAAATTTATTATATACCCCCTCATAACTAGCAAAATATAGCAAAAGAAAACTTTAGAGATCAATTGCATAACATTTACCCATAAACCAAAGCATAATAACAAGGGACTTTTTAACGCGCAAGAAAAATAACGTCATATTTCTTTGTACTGTGTCATCAGTTTCAGAGAGTGGTGATATGGATTCAGAAAACAACATGTTGGTGATCCGGAAAATCGGATCACGACGTCACGTGATAGCGTAAATTCAACAGTAAAATTGGGTGATACACATTAGGTATATAATAAGTATACATATATTCTGTTTCAAATAAAAGTATGATCATTTGTATCAAAAGCTGTTTTTTCCACCTTACTGTAAATTTTCAAGGTTAGGGTTGAAGTAATGATCTAAGGTATCATATGAAAGGGAGAGAATGCAGTACAGACACACATTCCCTTTAATTTTTCCTTTCACAATTGTTTTTGCAATTTAGCTTGCATGCTATTCTTGCAACTTGCCATATTCATCTGAAAAAAAATTTGCTAGCAAGATCATGCAAGAGGTTTTAGTCAGATGGAAAAGAAAAAACAATCATAGCTACTACTTTGGTGATTTTGTTACTCTCTGGAAAAGGCAGAGTAGTTGTGAATTGGATAGGAAAGTGGGTTTGCAGTAGTTAATTGTGGCACAAAAACTCTGTGTTGGTGTTTTGTCATTTTTATTTATGTGTGTGTGCTAGTTAGATTGGGATAAGTTTGAAACAGAGCAGTTGACATGGGTAAGTAAAGGCATGGTGTAGGAGGGGTGGGGAAGTTCTCTATCAAACTATGGAGGGTCGGTAAATATATAATGAAAAAAAGTCTGTTCTTGTCTAGAATTTGAAACATTTCTTCTATATATATTGTATAATAGACACCCATACATGTACTGCTTTGAACACAGAACACAGAAATAAATAATTTGAAAAAGGAAAAATAATGGCATTAAGGAAAATATTTTTTGCATATTGTAACAATGAAAATCAACATCTGACAAGATATATATGAGACCCACCATGTATGGCATGCACTGCTTGTGGAGCATTCTGTGATATATTATGAAGGATCTGGGATATACCATATTACGGACATGATCAGTTTGAATCACAGATTCTGGTCTGTTTCTAGGTTTCATTCTGAATGAAGGTGAGGCATCTTGGCCACCCTGGTTTTTTTAATCTGATGCTCTCCTCATGAAATCCCTGGGCCCATCCAGTAAAACTGTGAAATTTTACCACATATATACATGTAAATCCCGGACCTATCCAATAAAACCTTCAAGTTTATGGTACAACATACATAAATCTTGCATTAGTGACAGAAATAATACTTTTTAATGAAGAATGTAAAGAATATTGAACCTAATAATAAAATCTAATCACACCAGGATAGCTTGACAGACCAAGGGTTTGTGAGGAGTGTAGAGGATCAGAGACATTGGGCAAGCCAAGATGGAAGGTGGACACTTGTCTTATTTTCTCTTTTTTCAGTTTTCTTAATTTGATTTTAATATGCAATTGATTTTTGATTTTGTTGATATCAATGTCCTTTCTAAAGTCCTCTTTGTAACTTCCTTCTATATAATGAATGTCCTCTATTAGTCTTGGTTGGTGATTATTAGGTATACATTGTCAAACAATTCATGTAGAACAAAATGAATTTTTCCTAGCAAATGAGAGTCCAATGTTATTGATATATGTCTCTTTTCTGGACTGTCTGCAACAATTTAACCAGCACAATAACTTTTGTTTGTGCAAGGGCTTATAAAATAAGGTATGTCATGGGTATTCCTTGCTATAAGACCTTTCATTTTTGACCCCCATGACCTTGGCCTTGGAATTTGACCTACTTTTAAAAAAAATTAACTTTGACCCTGGGTTAACATTGTTTTACAAACATTTTGTTTTATAAAAAGCTTAAAGCAAGGCTGAGGTAGCCTTTGTAAAGTTTACATTTGAAATTAGTTGTATCTGATACTCAGAAACACATTATTACAATACATCTTGAATTCTAATAGTTTTGAGATATTGAATGTGATTTTGTATTTTGCCTCCTTTAAATATTTCACAAGCATTGAGATAATTGAGTTAGGACTGAGTGATTTGGCTCCTGTGACTTAGTGGTTAGAGTCCTGATATAGTGATCCTGGAAGTCACGGGTTCGATTCCCAGTCCAGCCATATGTTTTTCACCATATATTTACATGTATGTTTTTATTACATTTTTCCAATATATCAACTTTTTCATTTATATATAACAAAAAAATTTGAATATGAAACTGAGTGCTTAATATTATTCTGGATTGTTGTAAAGCAGATTCAACTATTTTTATTGAAGTTTACTTATGTAATAATTAATGTATCTTGTATTTCTGTCCCCATTAAACATTTTTTTAACTGTTTGAATTTTTTATGACAACATTTTGTTTATTTGTATTGTGTTTAATAGGCATAATGGAAAGAGTGTACAACTCAGTTAACATATTGCCTTTTATGTAATTGTTTTATTTGCTCTATTTTGTGGATCAACACATGATATGGAAAAAGACTTGAGATGTACATTAATATTGTTTTTATATACTAAAAAGGTAGATGCAATTGACAGATATTACATGTAATATCCTTTATAATCAAAGAGGTGTACTTGTCCTATATAATAATTATTATATTTGAACAGGTGGCAATGATATTGATTTAAAGGATTGTATCTTATCCACTAAAATGTGAATTGTTAATATGTGTACATGTATTAAGTTTATTAGGTACTGATTTTCAGTATTCAAGACATATTGTCATGATATTTGTATTGTTCTTTTTTTATGCAATTTAAAACCTAGGTAATGGTTGAACTTTTACACTTTTGTTCTAGTTTTTAGTTATCTTTACTATGTATGGTTATGGGTTCTTGGGGAAGGGTGTGAATAGTGGGAGTATATAGAGTCCAGGGTTGTTCCTTAGACTGGGGGGGGGGGGATATCCCCCCCATAATGATTAATCCCATGGTTATTCGGACAATCATCCTTAGACCCCTGTTAAGGGGATACCCCAGACCCCCTTTTACCTTTTAAACAACCTTAGTTTACATCTGCAGAAATACTGCATCTTCATTAATACTACTAAATATATTTGCATTAATTAAGTTAGGTATGTTTTGCACTTTCAGGCTACCTAACTAGCATATGAATTGTCAAAGACTTGGAATTTTTGGGATTGCATAAATAAGTTTTGTCATTGCATTAATAGTTTGGCTTTGAATTTTAATTATTTCAATATACATGTATGTTTACTTGTGTAACAGATATATGAATTTTTTTGTCATTGTGTATCATTACTCACATTAGCATTGATTCTTTAGAAGTTTGAATGCAACTATATTTAGTTTGTATTTACTAATAAAGATAGTAAAAGTATTTAGGCTTCAAGACCATGAACTGAGAGGGGAAAAACACATGAATAGCATATGAATATCAGAATATATATAACTATTGAAGTGTGTTTATTGATATTATACAATGCTTCAATTCTTTAAAACTTGTATGTGAATAAAAAAATCATATATTGATTTTTAGAATAAAAGTTGTAATTTCTCAATTTATGGTTATAAGGGTATGTTTGATCTCAACTTCGAAGGCCTTTTTTTCTGTACATGTTTACCACATAGTCACATGTACACAATGTATTATTTCATTTAGCACATTTACCTCCTAATTTTTTTTTGCAATGCTTCAGAGATTCATGAACAGCTAAT